TGCAAAGGATGTTCAGTGCAAAGAAATGCAGAAGGTAGGGACGTTTTGTGCCAAAAAATGAAAGGTAGGGATGTTTTCTACAATAAACTTGATAGGTAAGGACGTTGCGCACCAAAAAATCAAACGCAGGGATGTTTTCCACACAACTCTTCAAACGTAGGGACGTTTTGCGCCAATAACCCTAACTACAACTAAATATAAGTTATTCATACCAGAATTACCCATCGATACTCGATAAGGGATCTAGATTGTATCATTCCAATTGAGCGAGTTGAGAAAATCCTCGAGCCATCTAATCATGTCAAAATGTGTCCAATTGTAATTTTTTTTTTATAACCGTGGATGTCCGGGCCAGTTTGCATGCACCTCGACTAATCCCACGGGCCCCTAAGTTTAGGGTCGGGTACTCACCCCAAAGCATTGGATTGATATAATTCTAATATGAAAATGGTACAGAAACTCTTGCTCTGGAACAGTGGAAGCCATACCCAATTGAAAAAGGATGTTATCCAAACGTGAATATTCCTATACTACTCGAGATGGAGGAGGCTAGGTTAGCCGAAAACGGGTTATCGGTTCAAGGTTCATGCATTAATAAAGCAAAACTCATCCATTACCATTACAGGCCATTCCAGGCAAAACTTGAAATGGTAATCTTATTCAGCTTTCAGCAATATATGAGAACTTAACACTGCAATCCAATCAGCTACTCAACACACTGAATAATTCAAACATAAAATAAGAAAATAGTCATCAACAAAATGACGCTAACTTCACATAATTCAAAAAAAATTTGTCAACTAAGTTAAATTGCCAAGAAATAAATTTATTTTGATTAAAATTCGGTTCACAACATGGAGCAAACATAATCAGCAGAGTACAAAATACTTCTCCATAACCATATCTCAACCCCAAAAACTACCAAGAAATGGATAAAATATCCAGTCATAGTCATGAAAACAAGGATTGAACTGTAGTAAATCAAATGTTAATATGAGCATAAGCCTGAAGGGCATCACCAGTGAGTCTACAGATTCTCCACTCTGGTAAAATCTGGGCCCCCATCTGCTCGTAAAACTTAATGGCATTCACATTCCAGTCCAGCACCACCCATTCCACTCTCCCGTACCCCATCTTCGCCGCCTGCAATACAACTGCCGACAACAGTATCTTCCCCAGTCCCTTCCTTCTGTAACATTCCCTCACAAAAATATCCTCGATATAAAATCCGGGTTTAGCTAAGAATGACGAGTAATTCGGGAAAAACAGAACAAATCCACCAACAATCACATCATTACCCAGAACATTGACATCAATCGCCTTACTTCTAAACATTTCTCTCTCAGGATCTTCAATGGGTAGGTCGAGGTGGATCGATTTCAGAATCGGGGTAAAATTTTCATTCTGTGGGGCGGGAGGAAATGGCATATAAGAAAGCTCGAGAAGAAAAACAGTGAAGGAAGTAAAAGGCGGAGGAGGGTTTTGGGGAAAGAGAGTATTGGCGAGGGACTCTGAGGTGGCTTCGAAGAGATGGGTAAGGCGCTCGAAAACAGCCATTTCGTGGATTAGTTTGTGGATATGGGGGACATCATCAACGGTGGCGAGGCGGATGCGGGTGAAGAGAGTGTTTCCGGAAGGATCAGATTCCGGGAGGGTGACGGGGGCGGCGGTCGGTGGAGGCGGTGGAGCTGCGGCGGCCATTTTTCGTATCCGTGCAGCGATTTCTGGAAGTGGGAAGGGAATTCTTGTGACTTGTGAATTCCTATTTAGGAAAGTGGGCAAAATGTATGGGATTTTTAGGGCTTTATGTAGAATTCGGAATAGGGACTGTTTGGATATAAGGAAAATAAAAAGTAAATGTAATGTGACTTGAGGGATATGGGAAGGAACGTGAGGGGTTATTATTGGAAACTTGCCAAGGTCACACAAAGTCTTTTTTTTTTTCTTTTTTTTTTGGCATTTTTACTTTGAAAAACTGCATTCGAATTCAACCGGAAAAGTAATTTTCATGTCAATCATCTCACTTGAATTAATATATGTGGATCGAACAGGGGCTAAAAAGATTTCACAAGTAGTTTACTAATGGGAGTCGATCTAATCTATCGTTGGAGAGAAAAAATTTTGTGTAAATTTTGTAGTAATTTTCTATAAAAGGAAAAAAAGGATGAATTTTAGATTAGAGAGAGTCCAGAATCATTTGTGTAAGCACCAGTTTAGGTGCAATTGCATGTCATTAAATAATAGTTTAACTTAAATTCAATGTCATATGATTCATTTAATTGAATGATTACCTATACTAGTGCTTTAACAGATGCTAAATAACATTATTCTAAAAGAAGAGTGAAGAAATGTTCACAATTAAGAGGGTGTTTGGTGTAGATTAAAATCGGATTTTAAGTAAATTGTGATAGAAGTTTTTGAAAATGTGTGGTTGAAAAGATCTGGGACCCATGAAAGATATGGTTGATATAAATTGTTTGACTTTAACTTAAATTAAAATTAGATTAAAATCTGACCCAAACAAACCCTAAAAGTCCTAACTGAAAAGCTCAACTTTGCTTTGCTTTTGATATTCATATACTTTATAGCGAAGAAAGAAAAAGGTTTCTCGACTATTATTGAGTAACTTTTTTTTTTACTACATTGTAACTAAGGGTATGAATGATCCGATTTGAGCTATTTTTTATATATTTTCAACTAAACTGTTTAAAATGGTTGAGAAAATTTCAAACCTAAACGAAATCAGTTAAAAATCTCAAAACGAAACATAATAGTTTGGTTCGGTTTTAAACCACTATTTCAACATATATTTTTTTCCTTTCTGATTCACTTTAGTGTCACTAGTTCATCGATTACAAGTTATCTTTTTACTTTATTAGTGATGAAATAAGGGAAACTATATATCAAATGATAAGTCTACATAGTAACAAAACCGCAACAAAGAAATTTGTTCAACTTTTAAGATAAATTTGCACAAAATAAAAGTTAATACAAAACTTCACAATCCACATCAGCTCCAGCTTTGCTTCCGAACTTGACATTTGAAATAATGATGTTCGACACAATTAATACCTAGAGGGGGTGAATGAGTGTTTATGCGGAATTAAAGATGAAGTTCGACCTTACATGCGGAATTGTACAATTAAAATAACAAGTCAATTTTTAATTGTTTTTAGATGTTTAGTCAACTAGTCCAATTATTTTAAATTGAATTGCCACAATTTGTAATAAGAAAGTAATAAATAACACCAATATTGATGACGGAGAAATCCAATTGGGTAAAACTTCAAAATCAAACCAGTTACCTCTTCTATAAAGGAATCGACTTATAGTATTGTGGACTCGACTAATTCTAGTGCTTTCCGACCTCCTAACTGTAATCACCAAATCCCTCCTAGATTGCGTGCTCCTACAACGACTCTCAATCTTCTAAATTCGTCCATCTCTTGCGGATTAATGAGAACTCCTCGTTCTCCAATGACCAGAAACTCCAATCACCTTCATTGATCTTCATAACTTTGACAGATGTTGTGAAAGACGTGTTTCGGTGTTTGGTTTATGTGAGGGTGGTGTTTTTCTAAGCGATGATCAAATCAAAATAATGGTTGAACTCAATGAATGATGTTGAATGATATGGACGATGAAAAACCTTGTTTATCTCAATGTGCAACCCCAACTTTTCGTGTGGTGGCATTCATATATATAGTGAAGATGTTTTGAGTAGTATGGGACGGATAAAAGTCTTGAAAAATGAGAATTAGGTTTTTTCGAAAAATACTGTCGCTTGAGCGAGAGCTCAATGACAGGCGAGCGACAATGTCTCACTTGAGCGAAATCCAGGTGATAGGTGAGTGACGCAACTTCTGTTTTTATCGCTCGATCAACAGTTGGATGATAGACTAGCGAAATATATCCAGTCGACCGCCTCTTGTCCGAAAGACCAATATAACCATTTGTACAGTAAAATCAGATGTCAGAATGTTTAAATTTTGGATTGTTGGAAACTCAATTGCCCAGCATTTTTTTATTTTTTTTTAACGTTTTGGCCTCATTTGTTCTAATTCGAAGGCTTGGAAAGGTATGACTTTGAAAGGTATTTTTAACTAACTTTTCAAAGTAAAAATTATTTTTCCAAGTTCAAATATTATTTTCAAAAGTTATATTTATATTTAATCAAATCATTGAATTAGACTAGGTTTTAATGCACAAAATTATTTTTAATACATAGAAGGATCTTGAGCTTATGCATTCATTGCCAAATATCAAAGTGTTAGTATCTTTACATTTTATTTAAAAAGTCATGTATTTGATCTTGCTCTGAAATTAGGCTATTAAAAGTTCTTGAATGTGTGATTTCAATCTTGACTTTTAAGCCCGATTTGTGAGGATAACTTTTGATCATTTGATGACCAACGATCAATTTTTCATTGCATGCTTTGAAAAACTATAATCACTTGCATTCAACTTGTTTATAAATAAAATTAACTTATTTATTATAATCAAAACTTTAAGGTTATAATAAACCATAGGTCAACAATGTCCACATGGTTTCTACTACACAATTTCAGTTCGTTTTGAAATTTTTTGTCACCCAACCTATAATTTACATTAGCCAGTTTTAAATCAAAAACTTTTTTGTTTATTTGGATAGTGAAAAATATCACAATACTGTCAAAGTAATAACTTCTTTCTTTTAAAAGTAAAAATAAGTAATGTATTGAAATCAGCATTTAAAACATGACGAAACATAGAGGTCGAACTTCAGCCGAGGCAAAACTTAGGAGTTAAAAAGTGTGTTCTTATTTTAATATTAATTTTAAATTTTAAATCAATCTAAAAATTATTTAATAATTAAAGAGAAAAGCGTTGAAAAACATTAAAAAGAGTAAGCGTTAAAAAAGCACGGGATAGGCACGCTTACGCGTGAAAAAAAAATGAAAAATGATGAAAAAGCCCAAAAAATGCAAAACAAGGCATTTTGCTACAGTTTCACGCATAGGCTCCACTTTTTAAAACATTGATTGAAACATGTTTGAGAAGTCAAGTTTCACGTACATTTAGAGCCTGTTTGATAGAGATTTTGGGGGGAAGAATTGATTTTTAAATAGTGATATGATGGGAAATGTGTGGTTGAAAAAGAAGAAAAAATTATTGATATGATGAAAAATATTATTTTATTGAAGAATGTGTGGTTGAAATTGAGAATTGATTATAAAAAACAAACACCCCTGAATATGCTTAAAAAGTTACAAGCATGTATGGATTATTGAAAATAAGCTGATTTCCAAAATAATCCGTATAATTTGCTAAAACGGCGTTAGACTTCCACCGCCAACCGCCATGGAAAAGGTGGAGCCACCGGAGTGCCCANTTTTTTTCACGATTAGCACCGAAATAAGACGTCCAAAAAGCCACTTAAATAGAACATCCTAGACACGCCGATGTCCCATATTTTTGCACACTATAATTTAGGCCTTTCTTGTTTCTAGAGCATTCTACTTGACATGGAATATCAGCAAGATTATGGGCCATGCTAAGCAATCAGGTGGCAAGACCCAATTCCTCCATGCTAATGAGAAAGTAGCGTCTTCAACTTCAATTATCCCAACTACCAAACTAATCATTTTTCAAATGCAAAATGCCTACCCACAACAGAGATCAGTGAATTTCCTAGCCTACACTAAAAGGATCAGGGCATTCTAGTTTTACATAATTCTTGAGTTGCTTTGCTTTTCTCAAGAATTCCACATTTTGGCACTGATAATTAACAAATCTAATTTAACTTCACATGATGTCCGGTTTTCCGTCTATGCCTGCTAAAATCAGATACAAATCTAAAAGTAAGGCCACAGTCTTTGACCTTGCACACATACGGACGCTCCCCAGTGTGCACTCGTATATGTTCAGTTCTCGCCCAAGCCCACTTAAATGACATAGTGCAACCCTTCCATGGACACTTGAGGGGCCGATCATCATTATGAACGCGCTGGTGCAGTACTGCATATTTGTGGGAGCTGAGTTTCTTCCTGCACCCATCAACTGGGCACTGATTACGTTTGTGAAGGACAAGCTCTGCCTTTGTCTTGAAACTCATTCGACAGCCTTCTAAGTCACACTTGTGAGGTCTTGTTTCGTGTTCTTTTTTATCCTTGTGAGGGATAGAATCAGCTGAAGCCTTCCTCGCCTTCTTCACCGGCAGCTTCTCCTCTACAGGTTTCTCACAGTCGGTTCCACTGACAGATGCATCTTTTCTGATCCTTGGCCTCAAGCTTTCACAAGGACTTATTATGAAGCCACCAACATGCAGTTGATCTTGTGTTAGCAGGTCTACTTCTCGTTTTCTCTTTCTTCCACTTTTCAAATTTGGTTCAGATTGCAGGGTGGTAGAGTTGGAATAATTCGGCTCTCTCTGCACAGGTGAAGAGGCATCCTTGCTGTCATCGCCACAAGATTCCATGGCAGCATGTATATTACTTGCTACATGGAGTTCTTCAACCGAGGTGGAAGTATATTCTTCTACTAGTCCAGTACCTATTGAAACAGCTTTGATTTGATCATCTCTGTCTGTTTGAATTTCTTGCTGACCCTCGGAAACAGCTTTCTCTTGGTTATCTCTGTCTGTCTGAATTTCTTGCTGCCCCCCAGAAACAGCTTTAACTTCATCATCTCTGACCGTCAGAATTTCATGCTGTCCCACAGGAACAGCTTTGTCTTGAATATCAGCGTCTGTCTGAACTTTGTCGTGCCCCTCGCAACTCAAGGTATCCGATACCTCACTGTCTGTTTCCTTCGCCATATGTTTCTTCCTGGCATTTTCTTTTTTGCTGTTGCTCTGAGCAGAAACTGCAGAAGGACCTGAAAAATTTCCAGAATGGCACCTCCCAGCTTCAGCTGCTGGTGAACAATCAGAATTATCCAAATAACATCTCTTGTTTTTCTCAAATTTTCCTTCTACCTCGATTTCATGCTGCACCTTGGGATCACGCCATGTTGAATCACAAAATTTTTCCTTCACTATCAACCCATCTGACGAGCAAATTATAGCTTGTGCTGCAACATTCTCAATGGCTGGTGTGGCAGAACTAAATGAATTTGCACATTGCAACGGAAGGGAATTATCATCACAACCTCCGGTTTGTGAAAAATTTATGCATTCGTGTTCAGACTGTCCCACAGAAGCTAAAGCACTCAGCCCTGGAAAAGTGTGCTCAATATTTTCAACTCCAACGATAATACTTTTAGTAGTGCTTTTAGCTTCTTTCTTTTGATCTACATCATCACCAGCAGGAACATTTTGTAGAACATGGTCAATAGAGTCTTTAGGTGCCTCATTTACTCCTGCAGAACTATGAGATCTGTATTTTCTTCTTGAATATTGGATGAATTTAACCTCTTTCCTAGCCGTTTGATGCTCAAACTTTGATCTCGAATCCTCCTCGTCTTTCATGATTTTAAGGCCATCAGTAGATATTCTTTGCAATGGGTGTTTTAGATTACGATTTGTGCGTAATTTCCTGGATTTCCAATAGAAACTGGAAGAATTCAAATCGGTAGTTGCATCGGAGAACAACCTACCCAAAGTCAATAGATGCTTAACATTCTGGGATGGGAAATTCTTTTTCACCTTCACACAGTGCTGTAAATTGATACTCATTTGTGAAGTCCAGTCTTCTATGCATCCAGTTTGTTCTTCTCTATCAATAGCAACATCAACCAAGTATAGATCTTCCTGTGATGCCCTACCTAGTGGAATCTCATTATAATTAAAAGGTACGGAAATCTCCTCCGCTATGGCTGCAGCATGTGCCTTTATTTTTTGGAAGTCTAACCATATGAAAAAATCAGAAAAAGTGGATCATAATACAAATAAGTTGCAAAAAATAGTATAAGGGAATGGCACAACGCAACATAACTCCTTTATTTTAATTAAATTGATTAGATGTGCACGTGAAGTTCAAAGTATCATTATTGTCAGACTTCGAGAAAATTAAACACAATTTCTGATGGTTCCATGCATTCTTCTGGTTTCCAAACAAGTGCAGCAGAAGTCAAAGAAAATAAACGAGGCTGAAGTGCTGAAGGCAAGATAAAAAAAATTTAACTTCTCATTTATCATTCTAACAGACGAGACAGTAAGCCGACTGTTACCTGAATGACAAATCACGAGAACCTTCGCTCCACCTTTTGTACTCAACAGTCCTTCAGTTTCAATTGCGTGCTCCAGGCAGAACAGTCGTGGTTTTTCAAATGCACCAGAAATGTTCCATCCCATCGCAGTCTTAGCTTTTGAGGAAGCTGCATCATACTTGGGAGATGATGAATGGTCAGAGATAGGAGATTGCTCAATTGGTGAATGTATAGGTTGGCTTGATTCAACCACTGAAGATGATCCGTTTGGATAGGTTAGATCCCTCATATTTGATCTAGGGTACTCGACAGGTAATGAGTTTTCAATAATGGTTAATCTAGATACATATAAGAGAATTTACACAAAAACCTTCTGCACACAGTAAAAAGGGAACTAATAATAGATGGGTCATCAAAGATTAAGTATGAATTTACAGACACTTCACATTGTATGATGATGAACAACAATACCACAAGCAGGCCTCTTTCTATTGGCAGTTCATTCACAAAAGAAAATATAAAGTATATTTTCTCACAGAAGTAAACGCATCTGGCAGGGGACATAGCAGGCAGCACCAATGTATCAAAACATCATTTTCCTAAAGCTTATTGCAGATCCAGCAAAAGTTACAGTACATTCGTACAATCCAATATTCTGGGTGAATCAAATCAGACTCCTGGGTGTTTTAACACACTGCTGTTATAGAAGCATGTGAAAATTATTTAATTTGATGTACCATTTCCAATTTTTAAGTGTCACTTAGCAGAAATTACTAAATTACCACTGATAATTTGAGAAATAAGAAAAACAAAGTGAAAGTCCCGAAAGCATAGCAGGGGCAATAGCATGTCTTTGGACCTTGTACCTGGAATAGAGGCCTCAACCATGTGATCGAGGTCAGAAAGGGAATGAGATTCAACCGGTTTGAAAACTTCTAGATCTTGAATGGTACGATGATCCTCAAGCAGAAGAGTCTTTGACGCTTCCTCAGATGGTTGTACAACAGCCATAAACGGAAAACCAAGAATACCACAAGCAACACAGGGTAAAGTTCCAGAATCAATATGAAAATCATATGCCAAGTCATCATCGTCTAGGTCAAAACCAACTGCATTTATACAGTTATCCAACTGACTGAAATGATCCTGATTATCATCGTCCTCAGGATAAGCTTTTTCAATTGATGTTGATATTGCAGCATCTGCACCATTGCAGAATTCAGATTCTTTACTTGAAGATGGCAACAATTCCAGGTCCCATAGTACTACATGGTACAAGGGATTTCTCCGAAGAAGAATAGTCAAGAGAGTGTTTTCATTCAAGATATCTTGGATAAAGGCTTTCTTTACTAACAATTCTCTTTCTTCCTTCTGACGATCTCTATGGCGTGAGCTTCGCACCCCTGGTAGCAAGGATCTTGGTATTCTGAAATTCAATAAATTTCAGTCCAAAAATTTAGGACGAGTGATACAACAGAAGCATATTAGACCTTCTATTGTAATCATCAAGGGAAAAAAACAGAAAGTTCTTGGCATAAAAATAATGTTAACTGAGAAGTTTAAAAAAGTTATTGAGCATAAATCAAACGTGAGATTTCAGCCTATTATGAAACTAATAAACTGCCACATCTAAACAAAAATTATTAAATGTCTAATTACCTATTATGTGAAATTTTGATGGTTATAAGATTATCTGATATCAACAAAAAGCCTTTTGGCAAGTCTCCCATTTATTGTCTAGGACTAGTGAAAAAAATAAATCAATTTTTACAAGTGTAATACCATGTCAAATAAAGAAGCATCTTTTCCCCAACTACAGTAAAAAGTTGGTCTCTCAAGATACACAGCTATACATATCATAAGATGCACATTACATATTTCCAAAAGTTTACTATAAGTATTTGACTCATCTTCCCCTTAAATATGATGCTTAATGATCGAACATCTCTCTCTTCAAAACTGATTCAAGAGAAAAATTCTAAGCTTTCTTTGTGACCACAGGTCTGAATAATCAAATTTTATGCCCTTGATACTGGGACTAAGAGGTTTCCCATCACTGAACACTACCACAAAAGAATGAAAAATATAGTCTCAAAACTCTGTCCAAGCCAATTTTTACCTACCTTTTCCATCTTAGCTTTTAAATAATGGAACTTCAATTGGTAGAAAACTGTAACTCCGGACAAGAATAAGATAAAACAAATAAATAAACCAAGAGTTTGCCCATGAAGAGGTTAGGAAAGACAATCAGGTGCATACTTCTTTTGATATCTTCATACACAATGACAGTCTATGCTGCATTACTGTGGTCCACCAATCAAATGGTTTCTGTTGTTAACTGGCTGGTGCAACAATATATTTATGGGTAAAAAGACACTGTTATTCATCTCACTTGAAGAGTCATTTCACTGTGCTCACCGAACTGTTTTCTTTCCAAGTTAGTCGCTGAACCTTTATTTTTTTTTTACAGCTTAAAGCACTCTGTTTAAAACCATACAGTAAATTAACACAAATGCTGGCCTGACCAATAGAAAAGATGACATTTACGTGAAAAAATTATTTATGATTTATTTTTATTTGCCAAATTAGGCAAAAATGCGTTTTGTAGGACCAGTTGTGCATTCTTTTTAAGTTTTTTGTTTATAAAAGTGCATTTCGGAAGCCCAACTTTTCTAACAGTGCACATTTTAGTTTGGCTATATGATAGAAATGCATTAACGAATTTTCCAAGTCATATCATCAATTCTATTACCCACGTCAGCAATTTTGTTGATTACTGGAGTGTTTGATGCACATTAAAATGGAAAGAATGCATTTTTTTTGTGATGTGATGGTAAATATGTGTTTGAAAAAGAAGGAAAAGTTATTAATGTGATGAAAATTATTATTTTATTGAAAACTGTGTGGTTGAAAATGAGTAGAAGAATGAGAATGAAAATGAAAATGTGGCACAGACAAGGGCTAAGCAGGACGAAGTGCCTTAAATGAAACAACTAGAAGTTCAATGACTAACTTGAGAAAAAAAAGTTCAGTACCCAAGTGAAGTTGTTGACTAACAGCGCTTTTATCCCATAAGTTTATTATTCAAGAGACTAGAATTGGCCAATCAACAACAGAAACCATGTTATAACATGAAAATAACCATGACTCAGCTTAATAGTGGATCTGAAAGAAATGCAAAGACCATTAACATCTTTGTTCAAGATGGAATCAGTCCCAGCAGTAAATGTGGTGCCAATAGTTACCAATGAAATACAAAAACTGAGTGAGTACAGCTTAGCAAGTAGTTGATGATTCCTAAAGAATACTTCAAGGTATCCTACACCAACATATTGGTCTAAAGTAACAGTCAAAGCTAGAAACCTGACCTTGAAATGAAGGACATGGTCAACAAGTATAAAAGTTGCTGATGGGAAAGCATGGGTAGATAATTCATGGCAGCTCTACGCACAGCAGCTTCCTTAGCTATTGCAAGCCATTCTGCAGTGCCAAAATTAGCAGCTTCTCCACAATTGAAACCTAATTTGCATAAGAAAGTCATTAGTCGACCAAACATTCATATACGAAAGGAAAACAGATCTACTCAGTTTTGCTAAGATCAAGTGGCCTAAGTTACTTACTACAGTAGTTCAAAATAAGAAGGTCAGATATTTTGGCCGCTGAGCTTGTAAATTGAAAATAGTAATTCCAGACCAAGTATATGTTAAGCTATTTTCCAGAGGCTCAATGAATTACCCGACCTTGGAGCTAGAGGTATAGGGCTCAACACACATCCCATTTGTTTACAAAATCACGAGTGTATAACACTAAAAACCAAAAAAAAAAAAAAACACAAAACACAAAGGAGAGAGTCAGAAAACTCATGGGCGTCATAGTGGCACCGCGGCAGCCGGTAGCACTAACAGCCTGTTTCTGACCTTCCGACTTCCGAAACTCGAGTCGTCCGACTGAACTGGTCAATGGTGGAGGCGGGTGTTGGTGGAAGTGGTGGAATAGTGTAAATTTGTGGAAAATGGAAATGGAACTATGGTGAAATTAACGGACCGGGACCATATATATAATTGATTTGGGCCTAGTCAATTGAAAAGCAAAGGCCCAACTAAATTTAATTATAATTTCAGCTCAATCAAATGCAAAGGCCCAATTTAAGAAAAAAACACAGGAAGAAGAAGAAGAAGCCAAACCCTCACCTCGTGCGTGCCGGTCTCCTTCTTCCTCATGCCTGTGCACTATTCTGGAGGTGCCTAGCACGCGCAGCCGTGTCCCATCGCCAGGTGCTAGATCCGCCGCTGCATGAAGTCCAAAATCACTTTAAACAAAAGTGTGACTATCAATTGTCCTTTACAGCACTTAAAGAAGAAGAGTGTTTGACAAAGTTCCTTAATAATATTAGAAGGTTAATATCTTTAAGTAGGTGAAACAAGGGCCAAACGGACCTCAATTAAAATTCATACTACATTCAATTCCTATATACTTGAGGTACGAGCTTGTATCACTCTACAACTTCATAAATTTTCACCTAGCCAAAAAATCGAGGACAATTAGGCTTTCTCTTCCACCTTTGAGCTCATTACCTAAACAAATCATGAAACAACTATGAAACATTGATGTCTAATGATAAATTACTATACATGTACACATATAGCAAGAGATGGCATAATATGACATTCAAATCGACATGCATGCACTATTTCTTTCATTTCTTCTAACTGCCCCTCCCTTAGAACAAATTATTACACCGAGCAGCCCCCCGGGGCACATCCAAGTTGGCAAAGGATGGACACTGCTGGGCTTGCAACTTCAGTATAAAAACCTGCTTTGTCATTTAAAAAGATAAATTCTTTAAACGTAACACACAAAGGTATTGAAAGATTATGAAATTTGTGAATTTGTTAAAAAGATAAGCTCCGTTCTCATTCCAAGTCGTCAAGGTACCCAACGGCAGGTAAAATATTTAGGGTTCAAGATTACGTATCAGAAAGCGGTTGTTACAATTTAGATGAACAGCAAATTGCTCCAACAAGTATACGAAATGTAAGGCAATTACCATGGCTGAATCCTATGTGGTAAGCCCTCGGAAAAGTCACAACAAATTCTCCAGGGTATTGCACCAACCTAACAATAACAACCAAGTCCACCTTAGCAGAATACTTGCCAAATATGTAAGCCTTTTCTCATATCAACAAGCACGCCACATAACCAACAAAATTGATGGAAATAAATCCTTCTATTCACCAAATAGAAAACAGAAAGCAAATGCAGATAAGAATCAATTAAAAAAATCACACCTGCAACATGGGATGTTTGATTCAACAATAACTTCAGGAGACAACACAGTTGTCTTCTCACCCAAGAGAGAGAGAGCAGCTGGAAATCACAAAAGAAATGAATCCGAGTGAAGAACATAATGCACAAGTCTCGGAGTATTAAAAGTCACAGATAGATTCTACTGTAAACAGCAAATAAAATTGAAACCCGTACTGACAAATAGCATTCACCAAACATTTATGCCACAAAAAATAATTGTTTTTCAAGAGGAAATGTTTTTAAAAGTCTAGAAACTCTAAAGCATGAGCTACATATCCATTTTCCGAGACTTCATACCTTATAAAGATTTAAAGGGAAATCCACTACCATGTTCAAAAGTCTGGAGCTTTAAATAATATTACAAAATACTGATGCATACAGAGGAATTTTGTATTCTCCCTCACCCGCCCCACCACTAACCAAGTATGAAGAATGTTGTTTTGTCTGCTACAAGCAAACAAGGATTGACAACACAAAAGCGGTAAATATATATGGGCAATTGTCCGTCTAGGTTATCACGATCATTGTCGATGACAAGGCCAGGTAACCATCTTGGCACGAAGTAGAAGAATTCATATTTTAGCTTGCACTTCAATAGTTCATTCACAAAACAAATAACCAGAGAAGATGTAGTCACATTCTATTTGCTTCATATTTGATCACAACCCCAGCATACCCAAAAGAAGCTAACCACGTTCTATAAAAATCAGTGTTCTAAAAAGCGCGCTTAGGCGCCGTGATGAAAACGCTTCGCCTTGAGCCTAAGTGGGAATTAAGGGTTAATGACAATGCTGACCGCTTAATGCTCGCCTACGCGTTCCTAGGCGCGCCTCCGCCAATTTTTTTTAGATGCACACCAAGAAAAGGAATAGACTTGACACTATGAAGATGAACAATCTTGTTTATGTCCAATTTAATGTAAGATGAACAAGAAGAAGAGGAAGGTCAAAATAGAGACTTTACTAGCAAGTTATGCTACTAATGTATAATCTTGGATTATAGAGGGTTGTGATGATGAGAATGGTATCTTACAACCTATAGGAAGTACAAGAAATGATCAAAATGAAATAAGGGAGCTTGAGAATGATGATTTTGTATTGGATGATACGGAGAACGAATTAGATGAAGAAGAAAATCTTGAATTGGAGTCCGATAAAGAGTTAGATTAGATAAAATTTAAGCTACAATTTATCTATGTTATGTAATTATAATTTTGAAACTTATCTTTATGTATGAATTAATAAGTAAATACAGTATTTTATAATTTTAGATGTTTGATATGTATTATTTGAATTATTGAATATTTTTACAATTTATATATTATTTGAATTATTGAATTTTTTTACAATGTTTAAAAATTTAAAATAAAAAAAGGTTTTTTTTACGCCTAGGCTCGTAAAGTTTGAAGCTTGGCATCCACACCTATCCACGCTTTACGCTTTTTAGAACGCTGATAAAAATGCTACTGCCAAAGTATTTACCAAAAATCAAAAGAATAAAAGTAATAGGTGAACCTCGCGGGTTATGAGTCCAAACAGAGAGGATAAGTTATGTCCGGGACCCTCTGCAGCAAACAAATACTTCCTATCCAGTTACTATCCATTTTGATAATAGCTCATGAAAAGAATGTCCAAGAACAGCAAATACTGAATCATATATAACTGCAAAGGCATTCAACTTCTAGCTCGAGGTCATGCTTTTGTAGCAATAACAGTGCAAGCCAACTACGGAAGTAGGGATAATATTCTTCTAATTGTGGTACAGAATAATCAACAACCAAATAGAGTTTCCCGAAGGCATGAAGAAAAAACTTGAAGAATTAGCCGTCATTGCAATCATAGGAAAAATTGACAGTGACATCTATATCATCACGTTTTTAAAATGCATATCACATATTTACTAGAAAGCACTCACATACCTAAACGGTCAGTGTTTCCTCCATAACCATAAAGACGAATGACCTCTTCAAAATTGAATGCATAATCTCCTGGCACTGCATACCAAGTCTTTGGAGCGCCCATGTGAAGGAAGTTCAAGCTGTGAAGTTCATGATCTTCAACATGCCAAGCAAACCAGCTGAACAGCATTCCCACATAAACCATTGGAGAAGTAACACCAGGGATATCATCTGGCATAAAACGTGTCAAAGATCCAGATGATCGTGCTACTACTTGTAAATTCCAAGGACTGTTTGAAAGCTTCCAACCAGAAGTACCTTCCATCTCACTTGTGCAGTTTAAATCCTTGTCCCCAGAAAAAGATGCGGCTTGATGCAACTGCGTAGATGGTAATGAATTTGATGCTGTCTCTTTACATAAACCAAAATCTTTCTGGCCACCTGAAACTTTATCTAACCTACCACTGCTCACTGCATCTACTTGATCATCCTTGCTATCAGAGCTCCCTAAATTATTCCGATCGAAGGACTTCCTCTTCCTCCTCCTCCTCTTACGCCTATAAAAATGTCGCAGTGACCCTACTGGTTCACCAAACCCTGAACCAGGCACATCATTTGCATACTCTACATAAACTGGCTTCTCAGCAGAAGCCACTTTCCAGAACATTGCCTCTACGATTAATGGATTCACCTCTTTCACCATCCCAAACTGACCCTTAGCAAAATTCTTCGACTTTGCTTCAAATTGCTCCAATGTATAAACCTCCCCACTTTGCCAAACTTGCTTTTGAGCTCCGGATACTTGACCTCCCACCCCCTTCACCCTTTTCCCTTTCTCACCACCCAATTCTTGGTGCCTAGTAGTGAAAACCGCCCTACTCACCCCACCATTACAATTTCCCCTATCAGCATTATCCGTTTTTGACATGAGATTTAGATCCGAACCCAGTTCCGAGCACTTGGAAAGGGACCTATTCAAATTACAAAGAACATACTTTTTTGAAGGTTTGGGCAATGGCGGAATTATTTTACATATTCCAAAAGCACTAGCTTCTTTCTCTATTTTGGATATATACGCAATTGGGTCTGCAAATTCGGTGTCCGTTGGGCGGAATTCAGGTGCCATTGCCAATCCTTTAAGCCACTTCGGTATTTCCACATCCTTCATTATACCACCAAAAATTCAACCAGACCCGATCCCTTGTAATTGAAGTACACAAAAATAAATCCAAGGCTACTGCATTGCACTATTAAGATTGAAAACGACCATGGATAAAAACTATAGTTCAAATTTTCCCGAATCTCCTTCTGTGAAATGGAACCACACTGATTATTATTATTGCCTAACAAACCAAAGAAAACTAAGAAGAATTCAAAAGGAGAAATGAAAGTAAGTATAAAGACAGAAAAACCTGTAGCTCAATTTTATCTAGAAGGGATGGAGTAAAAAGCACCAGATATTGGGTATGAGAAACTGGGACCTCTGGATTGATGAACTTGAGGGGGACTAGGTTTCGATTTGGAGCAAATTCAACGACGCGCAAGATAGATTATTTAAAGGTAGCTTCCTTAACATACGCCGGTACAAGTAGCGCACTGTTTAGTTTTCACTTGGGGCCCGTGACGGATAGCGTAGTTGGCTGAAGCGCATTTTACGCTAAACCAGCTTGCCGCCGCAAAGTAGTGCTCCGCCCTCTGTTTATAGGTAGGCACAACATTTTTTATTGCCGATTGAATAAAAGGAAATTTGTAATCTCAATTAAGGCCCCGTTGGGGGAAATTAAAATCCAATTAAAATTGAAAATATGGTCGTTATTGGGTCTCACTCGTCTAATAAAAGTCAACAATAACGGCTATATTTTCAATTTTAATCTGATTTTAATCCCTCCCAAACAAGCTCTAAATAAATCATGTAAGTTTACACTTAAATAAATTTATTATTTAACGTTATGTAATTATCTAGCAAAACTCACTTTTCTTTTCATTTTGACGATTGAACGATGGACTTCGTGACAAAAAAAAAGTAAGGGTCCGTTTGATGGTAAATGTGGAAATAAATTCAAATTTCATATTAATTGGAAAATAAAAACCCACAAAATCCATAGGAATTCATTTTTCATGAAAACAAAAAAATATATATAACTTAAAATAGTTGTACCTTGAAATTCGATTTCCATTTTTACATTGCAATCAAACGGTCAAAGTGGAATTTTTTTCCTCGAATGTGATATTTTTTATGAAATTCTTTGTAATCAAACAGTGTCTAAGACAAAAAAAAAAGGAATCAGCAAATTCCATAACTTTTTAAAAGCTCACTTAAAACAATAAACACAAAAAAAAATATTTAAAAAATTTCACCTTTCACCCTCCCTCTCCCTTTCAACACCCACCCACAGTCCCACATCCTAATCCAAACTTCACCTGCAGCCAAGCATCATCATGATATACCACAATGGAAATGGATTAACTTCTTTTTTCTAAAAGATAATGATGGAATGATTTTATTTTTTTTTAATTTTATAATGCCAGCAATTTAATTAAATTAGTCGTATCAATGTACGTAATAAAATGTAATTATCATAATATTATTAAGCTATATTGATAAGGAAAATGTCATTTTGTCAGAATAAATTTGACACTTTGATTGACATCCTCTTACATTTGTGGTGGAACCCATGCGGTGCCCATATAAATTTAAAAAAAAAATTCCCCCCAACCCTCATGTTGTGAAGGGCATGTCGAGAGGGTGTCAAACCCTCCCTAGCAGCCCAGCACGATTCTATTGATAAATGTAAACATGAAATGGTATGAAGACCTTTTTTAAAAGAAAAAATTATTTATCTACTTTACTTATAGTGATGCTTGCACTTCAATATTTATATATTTCGCCTATTACAATATGTCCTTTGCCTTTTTGTTGAAAAAACGCAAGTCTTAATTTTGAAAGGAAGAAAAATAAATTTATTTGGTTAGCTGTTGTCTTTTATTCATGAATTGTGCTACTTGTACATCACCCCTTACACAAAAGGTGACATAATGCACAAGTGACGCCTCCTCATTGGAGGGGCGACGAGGGCCAATGAGGAGACGCCACTTGTACATTATGTCACCCCTTGTGTAAGGGATGATGTATCCATAGCAATGCTCTTTATTTATAGGTTGTTGCTTTTAACAATAATTACATCTTCTAATTTAAAATACTTCTGATCCAAGCTTTATACTTTTTTTGGTATCAATTAAAATCTAGATTTTAATCTAAATCAAAATCAACAATTAATTTTAATCACATATTTTATGAATCCCGCAACTTTTCAACCACATATTCCTTCAAATTCTATCAAAATCTACTTAAAAACTTATTTTAATCCCTACCAAATAGGGACTTATAGATTGCACGAGGCATAGATACCACAAAATATAGTACTCACATCATTTAAACCTGCACAGAATCTGCTCAAGACGAGAGTCCACAGTCCACTCCTAGATTTATTACGTAACCTTACTTAATACATCACTCTCATTGTTCCATTATTTTCTACCACTGCATAAATATGTGGTGTAGAGAACGGTAGAATGATCATACTACGCAGTATTGGACACAAGTCGAAAACAAGATTTTAAATCTTGATTATGTCCCACCCATGTTACCGAACATACTGCAAGAGTTGTATATTTTGCAGCAGTCTTCACTTAGAGAGCAGATTCCTTGCAATCCTTGTAATGTTTTCTTCTGTAAAACCAAATTTCTTAAATGTATCCAAATACGCTCCACTAGCCCCGAAATCTTCAACGCCAAGAACAAAACCTTCTGGTCCAACGTATTCCCTCCAGCCAATAGGCGAGCCAGCTTCAACACTAACACGCTTCACCACTCTAGATGGCAACACTTCCTCTTTGTACTCATTTGGCTGCCTGTCAAAAAGCCTCCAACAAACCAGTGATACCACCCTCACTCTTCTCCCTTCTTTCCTCATAACTCCCGCACTAGCTTCACATAAACAAAGCTCTGATCCAGTGCCAATCAATATGATCTCAGGTAAATCTTCACCCGAATTATCACTAATGATATAACCACCCCTTTCGACTGCATCTTCTGATGTTCCCTCTATATGTGCCGCGACTTTCTGTCTTGATAGAGCGACAAGGCTGGGCCCATTCCGGTGTGCAACAGCCACTTTGTAGGCTCCTGCAGTCTCATTGCCGTCAGCAGGTCGGAAAACCAGCAGGCGAGGCACAGCTCGAAGACCAGCAAGTTGCTCGACTGGTTGGTGAGTTGGCCCATCTTCCCCTAAACCGATCGAGTCGTGAGTCATAATGTAGAGGACACCAGCATCGCTTATAGCAGATAGCCGGATGGAGTTCTTCATGTAATCAGAGAAAATGAGAAAAGTTGCTGCAAAGGGTATCAAACCACCACCGTGCAATGCGATGCCATTTGATATCCCAGCCATAGTATGCTCACGAACACCATACCGAATGTTCCGTCCCCATGGAGAATCAGGTTGCTGAAAATCTTCATAGTCATGTAAATAAACCTTGTTAGAGGAAGCGAGATCTGCACTTCCACCAATTAGGCCAGGAAGCACCTTGGCAAGCTGGTTTAAACACTTCTCGGAGTATCCTCGAGTGGCATCCACAGGATCAGATGTAGACCACTTCTGGTAAAATTACAGTCATTACAAGTATCAGTTTCGACATGTTTATGCAGATGGAATAAATAACTTTAACAGTTTAAAAGAGTGAAGAAATTATAAACGAAGAATCTCTCTGCAGGTATGAAGACATTACTGGTAATGTATTTTCCCACCCCGGAAGCATCCCACCCGAAAGGAGAACTTTGAACTCTGCAGCTTCTTGAGGGTATTTACTTCGATGATAATCAAGTTTTGAGTGCCAATCCATCTCTAATTCTTCTCCACAATATGCTTGAACTTGCATTTCTCTGGAAGGAAACACACACACACAAGCCTTATTTCACTTCGGTATTTTAAATTAAAAAACACAAAAGTTTGATCTTCAATGCAATAAGTTACCGGTAAATCATAGGAATCACATGAAATGGATCTCGGTCTTCCCATTTAACCTTCTGCTTCATTTGTTTCTCATCATCTTCGTCGAAAGTACCATGGTGAGCCTTTGATGTTCCTTCCTTCTTCGACAATTTTCCTATAAGCGTCTTCACCTGAAGTACATAAATTCAGAAAAGAGATACGAGAGTGGACATTGGTTTCAGATCAGTTCCAAGTAGGGGAAATTCAAAATCAACTTTTAGTTGTGTGGCAGTGTTTGCTTTTTCATTACAATTGGAATGAGGTATTAGGACTGAATCCATAGTAGACAAACCCTGATAAAAGTCGGCCTCTGTGTCTCATTATGAGCAGCCAAAAGTGCGTTCTTGAGTGATCTCATATTGCTCTGTGTATCATCAACCGTTACTGTATTCCAGCCCAACGCCTTAAATCGCTGTGATATATCCTCAGAAAATGCAAGGTCTGTGGAGCCGTCTATAGTATTATGGTTATCGTCATAAATTAACGTAAGTTTGTTGAGCTTCCAATGTGCTGCTAATGATGCAGCTTCAAATGATATGCCTTCCATAGCACAGCCGTCACCCATGATGCAATATCTGAATTGATAATAGAACAATTACATTATATAGTAGACTATCTCTTCATATATACACAAGGACATGTTTGGTACATAGTACCAAGACTCAGTAGTGTAATAAACAAGATTTTTTTCTTCATTACTACTATCGAGGCCAACTTACTAGACATGCCATTAGAGAACTAATAATTCTGCTTACGTCCTATGGTCGACAATGGCGATATCAGATTTATTGAACCTAGCAGCTAAATGAGCTTCAGCAAGAGCCAAACCAACTGCATTTGCTACACCTTGTCCAAGGGGACCTGGTGTTTTTAAAAAAAAAAAAATTGGTAAGTCTGCACATTATTAGATCAAATATCCATATATATACATACAGAAACTATAATTTTCATCTTTAACACTTCAGATCATAATCAGTATACTTCATATTTGTACCAGTTGTGACTTCAATGCCATCTGTCAATGTATTCTCTGGGTGACCTGGGGTCCGACTGCCTAGTTTGCACAAGCTGTTGAGGTCTTCAATCTAAATGGAAGAACAAAATTAATTTTATGGAATCCCCACAAAATTTAACAATTGGCGACTACTTCGATTTTCTTCTAGCATAGGAAGAAATCATAAGTTAGCTCGAGCAAGAAAATATAAATGCCAAGATCATACGAAATTTATGTCTCTGTGTTCCTTCACATAACCATATCCACCTTGCTCAAAGAAACTCCGATGACATAGAGGTAGTTGGAGAGAGACATGATATTGTGCAATTGGAGACATAGTATTCATGTCATGACACAATATTACTCTTTTTAAGGGATAAAATTCCAACGTCAAATAAAGATGAAAACATTTACCAACTTATGAGGATTTGGGTTACAAGTACACACAACTGACATAAGAAATTATTGAAGACCAAATCTAACAGCCGAAGCAATATAGACAAAGTTCTTGAAATTAAGTATTGCCACCACCTATATGTGAAAACCGTGCACTTGAGAAAATAAATTTGGCCAGTTATATTGGTAAGTCAGTGGCATCTGTTAATCTAAATAATGAAACGTACCATCTTTAACAGCTGCTCAAAGTAGCATCAGGACATACAATTTCCTTATAATATTAAAGACTAAATTTGGCCACTTAAGAGCTTGAAATTAGTAATTGCCATCACCTGTATGTGAAAATTGTGCAAGCGTCGACCACTAAATCTAAATAATTAAAATGTGTCCCAGCTGTTCAACAGAAGGTTCCAATTTGTCAAGAAATACACAAATTATAAGTTCTTGCTTGGTTATGCTCAAAATCTGCTAAGTAGGAGCCAATTATTGGGTAGACTCACAATTTGTTTCTTTTGAGCCAGAAAAGCACTTATAAGTACACCTAAACATGCACTAAGACAGAAAATTGATACAAAAACAGAATTTCAAACATGGAGTACTATTGACCTGAACTGATTGGAACCCAGCAAGATGAAGGCAAACATACTGAAGCAGACACCCATGTCCTGCGCTGAGAACAAACCTATCCCTATTAAACCACTTGGGATTCCTTGGATTATATCTCATGACATGTCTGTACAAGAAATACCCAACTTCTGCCATCCCAAGAGCCATTCCAGGGTGCCCGGCTCTCGAGTTTTGAACAGCATCAACTATAAGCATTCTGATGTTGTCCACAGCCCTCTTGTCCACCAATTCTTGAAACTTTTCGTCATTTTCACCACAATTTTCCCATTCAAGAGATGGGAAAGCCCTTTTGAACTCTTCTTGCCATGAGAGCTTGTAGTTGGAGTCCTTGGAAAGAGTAGAACTATTTACATAACTGTCTGTTTTGAGACTGTTTCTGCATGTGAATGATTTGATGGAGTTTGCAGGTCTATTGCTGTTTGGTTTTGTTGGAAGGTGAACAGGGCAGGTTTTGAGGAGAAGGGAGGACATAGCCATGGTTGGGGGTGAGGTGAGGTGTGGTGTGGTGGCAGGGAGAATATGTACATGAAGATTAGAGGGAACGTGTTGGTTTGCTAATAACATAGATGACAGATGTCGCCCTTTTGGAAGGAATTGGTGCCGACACGTAAAACGGATCTAGCACTTTGACTAAACTTAAAAAAGGAAAGATAATAATGGTTGTAGAGGGCCACATGACCCCCCACCTGGCTCTGTACAATTAGCACGATTGAGAAAAGTATATCACTTGACTGGACGAGCAAACAGTGACATTAAATTTTGTAACTTGCATGTAATGATCCTTAAACGCAGTGTGTGGCAACTGGCAACATCATAGGCGTCTACCATTGTGAAAGTCGTTGCACAGCAAACTTCGATGGTATATTCTAACTGGAAAAAGCCAAACGGCCTGTTTGATTGGCAATGTTTTGTATTATTTTTTTCAACTTTTTAATAAGAATTCACCAAATATCCATTTATTTGAAAATTTGTCATTTAACCTGTTTTTATAGCAAAACTCATTCTGACTCTCGTCAATATGGACTAGTTGCCAATCCCTTGTTGATCGAAGAGACGGAAGAGGCTAGGTTAGCCGAAAGCTACGTCAAATTAATTTTTGATCAATTTAAACAATAAAATAAGTAACTGTCTTAACCAATTATGATTGAATTTTGTCTAGAAGTTGCTTTTTGGATAGAATTTAATACAAAAAAAAAATTTATTTATTTAAAGTAGGTGTTACTTCGGGGCTTAGGCCAAAAAAAAAAATTATGAGTTGAGTAAGTGTAAGTCACATCCCGTTTCTCATTCAGTGCGTATTTGTATAAGACACTTTCTAATTTTCATACATATTTATTTCTATAGTTGTAATCAATATTTTCCAATGTTGTTTTAAAATCAAATCGATTCGATTGAAAAATTAAGAACTATACTAAATACCCGGTCTGATTATATGCATAGAATAAGATGACATTATAGATTCTTAAAATTCAGTTGTTGTACAATCTTTCTTTTAATATTGATGAAAATTATGTATGTATCTAGATTTGAATTGCAATTAAACTTTTTTAATTCTTGATCTCTATTGACGTCGAAAATTGTATGAACAAAATTCAAGTTAACTTAAAATAGAAATAAGAATTTTTTATCGATAACTACACGTGAATTGCTGGTATAGCTAACGATGGTTACAAGTGCATTATACTTGTCATTATTGAAGAGATATTTGAATTATGTTGTATAAGAATACCAGTAAGTAAAAGTTTTTTCTCTCCTTTTCCTTTACAATTACTTTCTCTTTTATAGGAGAAAATACACGTGCTTCATTAATAAGTACAGAACAGTAGACGTTAAACGAGCTGGAGAAGTACATATGTTGGAATAATTCAATTGGCCACCGAACTTAATCTGGCAGTCTCATGATGAACGAACCTTACAAGTGAGTCTTAATAATTAATGAAGCAAGTTTTGGGAAAAGAGCCGGACTATTTGATCGGGGCTTATGTAAGCACTGATGCAAGATTATCTCCTGTGGATTTTTTTGATTGGCTAGTCTATGGATTGTGTCGGTAATCTTCAATCATTAGAATATCCTTTCCTTGAAAGATTACACAATTCTCTGGGTACGCTAATCATCCGAGCTGACCTCACTCTACCGAGCTCACATTGTCACGTGTTCATCACGTGTATCAATCCGATCTGACCAACATCGGAGCTCGGCACGTCAACAATCTCTAACCATAATCAAATTCGAAAACATTCGTGTTCTTTAGTGATGCTACCAAACATGAAAAAGACCTCCATCAAGAATGTGTTCCATCATAGCAGCGGCCTCAATTTGTCCATGGTGATGCTTCAACTTATGAATCAAATGGTTTGTAAATTCGAGCTTTCCATTCATAACATCGGTACAAATTGTCGATGAAACTTATGCTAAAACTACTAAGATATTAGCCTCAGAGATAATCACGGAAACATGGTCATCAGGGACAGACCCAGCACCCGGCAGGGGGGGCGGCCGCGCGAGGGCTCCGCCGGACCGCCGGTGCAGGCGCGGTTCGTCTTCTTCTTCAGTTCGCTGATTTTGTTTTTTTTGTTTTTTCCTGTGTTGCTTTCCTTTCCTTTCCATTTTTTTTTTTTTTTTTTTTCCCATTCCCAAATTCTCCACCTTCTCCAATCTCTCCCTTCTCCGGACTTCGGCGAACCGGCTCAGCAGACTCATAAATTGAGAAGGTATGAGTGATTGAGTGTCCTATTAAATTTTACAGGGTCAAATGGTCAATTCGTACTTTTTCGACCCATAAATTGAGAAGGTAATTAGATCAAAATCATGATTTGAAAGTGGCCCTTCTACAAGCTTGAGTTGGGATTAACATGGTATGGAGCTTAAAAGGCTTAAATGAGCAATTTTATCTGCATAATGACAAAAGATTAGTTGGATAACAACTAAAGGAGCTCTTTTATGATAGTGTTTTACTTGTTTTTCTTGCTTTGTGTATTAAACAATATAGTAGATGGTCACCATGGAAGTAAGCATAGAAATGTTTGGATACTGTTAAAAACATAAATTCAAAGGCATTTATGAAGGAGTAATGTAGACTGAATTATGTTTCTTGTAGAAAATTGATCTTCTCTGAATTTATGTTTCGGATGGAAAATTGATCGACGTTGACCGGTCGGCGTTGACCGGTCAACGTCCGCTCGGGCTGTGATGGTGGGCTAGGTCTGTCCCTAATGGTCATAACGAACAGCAGTGTCATTCACTAGTGCAGATTCCTTCCTTGGAACTGAATGCTTGGGCTGGATCAAGCGATTCTGCTCTAGGCCCGACTGCCTTGGAATTGGACAGGCCCATTAAAAGCCCAGGCCCATAAATGTAGGACAGGGGCCTATATCCCCCCAGATGCAGTGTGCTCTCTTATTGGTTTGTGTTTTAGTTTTCTATTTTCTATTTTTAGGGTTTTTTTTAAAAAAAAATTTGATAAAAACTTTTTAAGTTTGTCATTTTAAAAAATTATTTTTCAAAATAGAAAACTAAAATCAGGCTGAAAATTTATAAAATTATTTTATAATATTTTTTCCATTAAATTTGATATATAAATAAATAATAAATTGAGTTTAAAATATAGAAAATAAAATATAATAACGTGGACTGAGAAATTTTGTATCCATGTTCACTGGTTTTTGCTTTAAGTAATAAACATGAGAAAATTGAATGAAGTGCTAGAAACAAAACACAGCTAAGAAATGCTTTGCTTCTTTTGCCAAGGCCAAGAATTAAAAAGCATCCAAAGATTTTTTTTAGCTGTCTATTTCCGACAATAAAAAGAGTAAAATTTAGGCATAAATAAAAGCAAAAGGAGAAAAAAAATAGTAAAACTCAAAATTGTTGTAAATATAGTATTATTTATGAATGACTTTTACACCTCTGCATTCTTAGTCATTATGATTGTTGTATTCATTGTAGCCTTAATTATTTTCTATAAATATGAGATTTTGGTTCTTAATAAAGCACACAAATCCATTGACTTATCTAGTTTTTTTCTTTTAGTTGATAACATAATATTAGCACGATCCTCTTAAAATCAAAGTAAATTAGTTAGAAGGTTCTTGCAAAATCATCTATCGCACGTACCAAAATTAATTTGTTTTTACCGATTTCATGAATTTTTTTATATCGCGTAGGATCTCATATCACTTAAAATTTGTGTTTTACCGATTCTTTTTCCATAATGATTATGTTTTACCTTTTTTTTTCAAGGGAAAAATTCATATATAAGAGATTAATTATGACACATTTCAAAACTAAGAAATAAAGAATGCTATTACGCATAATGCAAATATCAAAGTTCTTCCTGTTATAATTGACTTATGATCATAATCTAATTTTTTTCATCTAATTATTTTATTAGTATAGTACATATAAAATCAATATACTACAATGCATTGAGATGGAAAGTAAGAATATTGAGAATAAATGCATAGTTATCCCAAATGGGTAATATTTTATAATGCAGTAAAAATGATTGTCAATTTGATTGGACAATTCTCTTATCATTAGGAGGAAGAATTAAAAAGGTTGGAAATAATGTATAAATGCACCATTATCCTCACAAAAGATAATTTGAACCCGAAGTTTGAAAGATAATTTATTTATATGCATTTACTGATCACGGAAATCAACAATATATCATGCATCAGTTTTAAATGTTCCAACACGAATTGATGCCCAAGGAGAACGCTGAACCCTAAACGAAAATGGAGCAATTAGCAAAGATTGTCTCATTAAGAAGGTACATATTCTTGATGAGTATTTAGACATAAAAAAATTATAAAACCCAAAAGAGGTTCGGATTGAAAATTGAGATAACTCAATAATTTATATCATTTTAGAAAATAATAGAATCGAAAAAGAAAAAGTTGTCGACAATACTTTTGTACATGATGTACAACATCAAATAGTGAGAAATTGAAATAAATGCGTCGAAATATATCGATCAAATAAATGATTAGTCAAATAAATGGACGCAATTATAGCAAATTGAATTGAATATAGAAATATGAAGTTTGTGGCCCTACAGTTTGAACACCCAAAAGTGAACGCGTGAAACGAAAATAGTAAAAGTGAAGGTGTAATATGAAATGTACTACTTTTTACATAATAAATTTCGCTAAATTTTATATAAATAGATAAGTTATCGTGTGGTAAATGTAACCATAAGTATCTACTTGTTAGCGAGACAGTGCATAAAATTTGATATGCATATAATAAATTTGATGATGAACCCATCGGCATGCTATTAATATTATCTTGAAAGATTTAACATGCTTAAAGCATATAATTTAAGCAATATAATTTTGAGTGTAAGTAAGTACGTGTTGTACTCTTTTTTTCTTTACCAAGGTTTTGTCATATTGGATTTTATTAGCAAAGATTTTAATGAGACAACATTTATGGCGTATTTAAAAGAATAATGTACTTTTTTTCCCTTTAATATGTTTTTACTCATTGAGTTTTTCCTAGTAAGGTTTTAATAAGACATATTTTGTATAATAAATGTCCATAATATACAAGGCATTTACTCTCAAAATAATACTCTGACATATATGAGATTCTTGAAGAGATCAACTAGAACTATTTTCTGAATCGTCGCGTTACTAAAGTCATCAAAGATTGATAAAATATCTTGTATGAAAACGATGTGATTTGAAAACGGTACAAGACAATATAAGACATATTCACCAAAATTTCAATATTAAAGACATTGACGTACAAGACAATGATGAATGAATAGAAGAATTGAAATCAAAGGGAGTAACTATACTCTTCTTCGTTCGATCAAATTTTGTCCCATTGAATTTTCTTAACAAAGTTTTAATGAGGCACATTTTATTATTCCAAATTATTCGTACACTTTTTCATTTGTTGGCATTTTTATCCTAACGAGGTTTTGTCAAACAAGATTTTAATGAGATAATTATTGTGAAAATAGTAATTCAATGGGGGGGTGTTTATGAATGATTTTTATATCCGTGCAGTCCTTATCATTATGGCTGTTGTATTCTTTGTAACCCTAATTATTCTCTTTAAATAATAAATATGAGACTTTTGTTCTTAATAAAATACACAATTTTATTGACTTCTCTGGTTTTATAACAAAAATCAATAATTAAGGGTGAACAAAAGAAATTGTGAACTCATGCAATTGAATCGAAACTGTAGTTTTTAAATCGCGAATTTGGATTCAAGTGGCTTAGATTTCAATGCCTCAAAATGGTCCAATTTTGATTTCGTCAGTTAAACCGCCTTGAAACTACTTGAGCTGTTAATAAATAAATAAATTAAAATTAGCCATCGTTTGTTCACCATTATTCAATAAAAATTAGTTTTGGAATAACGATTTTTTAGAAATTGTACAATTAAAAAATAGGATTTTTTCGGATTTTCGTAAAAAATATTTTATTATATGAAAGTGTGGTTTAAATTTAGATGATTTCAATTTTCGTATTAAAATATTTATTTTTTCACTCGTTTGAAATATGTTATTTTTATGTTGCTAAATCATGACTTGAAAACCAAATCAAATTGCAAAAAAGGGTTTAATTTGGTTTGGTTTGAATGAAATGTATGGCATGGTTTAGATTTTTTTTCAAAACCGTTTAAAATGATTCGACTTGAAAATAGTTCAAAAATCGCCCAAATATAACCGTGTTCATGCTAAAACATATTTGGGACAACTTAAAAGTTTTTGTTTAGGTGGTGTATGTCTGAACTAATAGTGTAATTTCACTTTTTAGTAAATTTACGCCAGTTTAGTTTTTATCTACGCATTTTGAGGGACTCGTAAAACTACTTACTTATTCATCTCAAATTTTTATCTATTTTTAATTCAAACCATTTACAAAAACTCGTGTAACATACTCTCATAGGAGATTTCGAGATAGCTCACAATAAGAGATAAATGCGATATTTTCACATGAAATACGATTTATTCGATAAATTTTTAATTACGTATACGACTTTTTCTTAAAAATAATGAAGCAATTTGAAAAAATTTCCTTCTGCTTAAAGATTCATAATGACAATAAAGAAGAAAGTCATAAATCATTAATGAGAATAAAGACATTGACACAAGAAAATGATCGATTTTCTTTTTCTTTTCATATTTTTATTGTATTTAATCTTTTGTCATGCTGCTACATATTGTCCACCTTACTTGTTTGATTCCTCCACCGTTAAAGTCTTCTTTCTTAAAGTTCCCTTCTTCACCTAAAAGTCAGAAACAAATGCTGGTTAGACGATGATAGTGTACCTAATCTTCTTGTACAAAACTAGAGTGACGTTCCAAAGAGTAGTAGTTCAATTATTATTTACACTTATGAGGTATGTAATGACAATTGCCTTTATCTAATTTTTTTTTTAATACTTTTGTCACACTAATGCCACAAAAGTCTATTGAAGGCCGAGGCTAATCGAAGCAAAATTATTTTTAACACAATTTGTAGGTAATTTATTTTAAATTTCGAAGAAATATAATTTGGTGAACAGGACGTCTCAAAATCCAATTAAACTCCTGTTTGATGACCATTATTTGATAAAAATAAAGTTTTGATTAGTAAATTTTTAGAGAACGTGATTAAAAATTAAGGAAAATTTTGGGTTTACGTGCAAAATATTTTATTTTGTGAATGTATGATTGAAAATGAGTATATAAAATAAAGAATTTTGTAATAATGTTGTTAAACATGGGCTAAGTATACACTCGATTAGTCCAAATATTGAAAATAATTCAAAAATAATTTTTTTAAATTCTTATTGTTATAGGCTTCCGGTATGCCATGTTCCAACTGATGAGGCATATGCCAACCAAATAAACAAGGATTAAACTGGTTGCACATGACGAATGGCATGAGCTTTTTCTAGGTGCTGAAATTGCGATTTTTGATTGGAAACTTTTTTTAACTGTCAATGAAATTTTGTGAAGTGAATATCCGTGCCAATGACCCTATTTTGATAGCAGATCTGCATAAACAGAGACAGGCTGAACGAACCAACAACCCGACAGAGATTTCTGCTTTGGAGTGGCGCTGGTGGTACAAGACTACACATGAGCCTTTTACTATCAGGGGCCCCATCAAAATCCTTTGCTTTGAGAGATAAATTTTGTTGTCTGTACAAACCTTGCTACAGCCTCCTCACAGTAGGGGCCGCCTTGGGGACAGTTTGTCCCCAGTTATTGGCTGCCCAATAACGGCCAAGAACCGTCGCCCCTTGAAGACCCTGTATAAAATAATTGCTTGTGTGTATTTGAATCTAATTTTGAGGAGAATAGAAATTTTGGAATAGTGATTGATTTGAGAATGTGTGGTGGAAAAGTGATGAAAAACATATTTTTTATTACTTTTTGGAGCGTACAAGGTTATATTTGAAAGTGTTTCTTCCACTTGGCGGTTTCTTTTGGGTCTCTTCGTTAATGTCAAACTCAGCGAGTAGATTCTATCGATCACAGTATCATTCTTTAAATTCTTTTTCTTTTCTGTCTTTCATTGCCCAACTGTAGTTTTGAATTGTTTAAAATTCATTCAGTGACGCTTTTCCATTAGTCCTTGTTTAAGCCCATTTTTTTGAATAGATTTGATATGAAAGTGATTTTCTTTAGGGTGTCTGGTTAGAAATTAGAAAAAAGTTATAGATTTTTAAAGTAGAAAATGTGTGGTTGAAAATTATTTTCAAATACACACACACACTCGTTCTTGGAGTTAACTGTTAACTGTTGAGCGCAAGAAACAGATGGGATTTCTGAGCAGTCTCTTGGGAATTTTTGGTTTTGGAATAGGGTCTCTTATTGGTATTTTATTTGGATTCTACTTCTTCATTTATTCTGAAAATAAAGATGTTGAGGTAAGGTTTTTTCTAATTCACTGATACATTTGAAAGTGTATATGATATGTTTATGTTCCTTCTTCTTCTTTTTTTTTTTTTGGTGATTAATTCTTTGTTTTCTGAAATCCATTGCAAGTGAATCATAGGACGACTGGAAATTTGCCATATCTGTCTTGGGAAGCTAAACATTCTTTAATTGATTTATCATCTTACTTATTGAATTTTTATGGGTTCTTTTAATTGCATTCGTGATGAAGACTGGTTATGGTTCTTGATTTCATTTTGATGCTATTCTTATTGGGGAAGAAGGCTGGTTTGTTCAGTAATCTGACATATTTGATTATAATATAAAGTGACTAGGAATTTAGATGCATTTAATCAAGAACTGTTATTTGATTCTTTTAAAACTAATTTCTCTATTATTTTTATTAATAGTTTGATCATCATCATCGTCGCCGTTCAGATTATGGTATCTAATCCACCGAGACCTAGTTGTCGTTCAGTTTTTAAGAAATAGATTTGCTAATGGAATTACATATTGGTTCAATTCATGATATCAAAAATTGCTCGCGAAGTGTAATTTTTTTTCATTTTTTTTGGTTTTTTGTTCATCTTTATCAGTCAATATTACAATTTTGAATCCGGGGAGTGATCGAGGGCTCAAAACTAGCCTCTTGTGATCCACTTTTCTGAATAGTAGATTGAAAGTGGGAATATCATTTATTTCCCTACAAAGAGAATAAAATTGTGCAATCTCAGAATTGTTGTTTTATATTTAACATTTGACTCACGTTTTTACCTTTCGAGTGGACGTTGCTCTCACATCGAGGATTAATCACTAGATATCTGTGTGTTCTTGTTCTTTTATGATTTCTTTATTGTCGTTCTACGAGCTAGGGACTAAGATTTAATCCATAACCAAAACCATGGTTGAACTTCTTCGTAGCATCCGGATGGTTCTTATACTTAATTTATGCTACATTTAAGTAATTTTTTTTCTTTTTCACTCTTGTTCATTTTTAAAATGTTTATGTTCTTGATTGTCTGACCATACATTGTTTAGTGAAGTAATTGTATTACTCACTGAAAGTATGCATGTTCTGAGTTTTGTACTTGTAAAATTAATTTCAGGATCCGATTACTAGGCCACTTTCGGAACTTGAAACAATTTCATTAGAAGATCTAATGCCTGAGATTCCTTTTTGGATAAAGTGTCCTGATTATGATCGAGTGAGTATTCCATTTTGCAATAAAAGCCTTCTATGTAGTCTCTTTTTTCCCCCTTGAAATCCTTCTATGTAGTAATTATTATTTTCTTTGTTTAACCTGTTTTATATTTTGCCACTTGAGTTTATGATGCACCATTTTCTGATATGCAGGTTGATTGGTTAAATAAATTTATCTTATATATGTGGCCTTTCATTGACAAGGTATTTTTATAACCATGAGATTTCAATTACTTGGCCGAGCCGGTGTAGTTCATCTAATGCATGATGTACAGGCCAGTCATAGCATAATTAGAAGCACGGCAGAGCCTATATTTGCAGAGTACATAGGGAAATTTAAGATAGAATCAATTGAGTTTGAGAATCTAAGCCTCGGAAATCTTCCACCAATAATTCATGGTGAGTTTCTTCTCATTATCTTTGGTTAATGCTATTGAATGTGTTATATTTTCTGCTTAATTATCACTACTAGCTGCTTTCTAAGTATCCTCCTTTTCACTTTATGACTTTCTTCTTGTTTTAATACTCAACAATTATAGGATAGGATCTGAGAGAATTATGAAGAACATGGACATTTCTTGTACTAGGAACGATAACCGGTGCTTGTATTTATTTTTTATTTTTTAATTTGGGAGGAAACAAGTATTATCTTATGATGTTTACAATGTTGTACATACGGGTAAAAGTTCAGTTTCAGTTATATGTGACTTTAATTTTAAGATTTTGAAGTAAAATTACATTTTGGAAGACAGTTTGTTGCTAATTTTTCTTCATATCTTGACAGGTCTCAAAGTTTTTGAGACAAATGAGAGAGAATTGGTAATGGAACCAGCTTTCAAATGGGCCGGAAATCCGAATATCATTGTGACACTAACAATTTCATCCGTACAAGTCACAGTTCAGGTCAGTGAAGCTCGGAGAAATTTTCCTTGAGTGGGAAAGATTTTATTGAATCTCCGTGTAGAGAATATACGTTTCTTCGATGGACTGACATTGCATCTTTTTAGCTAGTGGATTTGCAAGTATTTGCCACACCACGGATAACTTTGAAACCACTTGTGCCTACTATTCCTTGTTTTGCAAACATAGTTGTGTCTTTGCTGGAGAAGGTAAGCAAACTGTTTTCAAGATTGAACCTACCTTTGATTTTTCCTATTCTTCTGTCAATTGGAGGAGTTTATTATTTTCTCTAAATCATCTTTTATTTGTTCAGCCACATATTGACTTCGGAATAAAAGTTTTGGGCGGTGACATTATGTCCATTCCTGGCCTCTATCAATATGTTCAGGTAGCATTTTGGTTTTCCTAAGATTGGAGCAAAAGATAGATTTTTGTCATTTTCTCGTTAAGCTGTGTTATCTGATGGCAGGATACTATCAAAAAAGAAGTATCAAATCTTTACCTTTGGCCTAAGTCTCTTGAAATACCAGTCCTCGATGCTTCAACGTGAGTGGCTTCTCTTAAATCACAGAACTTCTAGTTATTAATTCTTCTGAAAATTTATAGTTCTGATATTCTCAATTTTAAGTGAGTTCAACTTCCAATTCGGAGATTTATTGTTCTGTTACCTCATGATTTCTCCAGAGTGTCCATAAAGAAGCCTGTTGGAATATTGCGTGTTAAAGTTGTTCGTGCAACAAAGCTTCTGAAGATGGATTTACTTGGATTATCCGATCCATATGTTAAGCTAAGGCTTGGTGGAGAGAAACTGTCGTCTAAAAAGACCACTATCAAGAAAAAGACATTGAATCCAGAGTGGAACGAGGAGTTTAAGCTTTCTGTGAAGGACCCTCTGTCTCAGGTTCTTCATATAGATGTCTTCGACTGGGACAAGGTTTTTCCTTTAATCTTATCTGTTTGCATTTTTTTATGACATAATTTAATGTGGATTTGATAGAACTGGCTAGTATAAAAGAAGAAAAATAAGCTAAAATCTTGTTTCATTGTGCTGTCCAACGTGTCTGTTACTGTGTACCAAATGATCAAGGGCGAAGCTGAATATGATGGGTAGGAATCAAATCTGCAGACAGGTCTAATGACTTGGTTTACAAGAAGAATGAAACCATAAGCATGGAATCGGACAGGCAACTGAACCTGCCTTAAGAAAGGGTAATGTTTATGTATCCTGAAGTAATGAAGGAAAACAGAGGATGATGATGAAGCTGTCAACTATCGAATCAAAACAATATTTCTAAATCTCATTTTCTTAGTTCTAGTGTTTTTTTCCCTTACCTAAGGTTTGGTGTCTTGAGACACCATAATCTCTTAACTTTCGTATGGTCAATCATGGAACTTGTACTTTTGCTTTTTATTTTCTTGTTGCTCGTACTCACAAATGAATTTCTGCTGCAAAGCTTATTACCAGTCCGAAAATCTTTAATTAGTAAATGAAGTCATGAAAAAGCATCTCTGACATTGTGAAAATCTCTAAAAAGTACATGATAGTTATTGTCTTCTTATTAAATGGATCACATTTAGTTGTAGATGCAAGATAATTTCATGTAAGGCTCAGAACATGAAAATAATTCGTATATCCATTCTTTTTTAACGGTATTAATATTATTATTTACAGGTAGGGGCACATGACCGGCTTGGGACTCAGTTCGTTCCTTTGAAACTGCTGACTCCCAACGAGACTAAAGAATTAGTACTTGACTTGCTTAAGAATACAAGTATTAATGATCCTCAAAGCAAAAGGCAAAGAGGGCAGATAACGTTAGAGCTCACATATGCTCCTTTCAGAGATGACCTTGAAAGTTTCAATGGCTGTCTGGATGGAATTGCTCGGAATGATAGTCTACTCAACAGGGCATCCAGCAGTGTAAGCCCGAAGGGAGCAGGTTTACTTCTAATTACAGTTCAGGGAGCACAAGATGTCGAGGGATCACGTCACAACAATCCATATGTGTTGGTAATCTTTCGAGGCGAAAGAAAGAAATCAAAGGTGATGTCGAAAAAATCCTCATTTCTCTGCTTTATAACTTATGATTATTGTTTCTCATTCAAAGAAAGATTTGAATGCCGTTTGACTTGGAATACTTGAAAATTTAGGTTTACTGACATTATTTTTTCATTCTATTGTGCTGGGAACAAATAAGACGTTAATTCAACCAATGAAATACTGCATAGCAACAGAATTATGAATAGCCACTCCATTCTTGTTTCTCTTTCTAGTCTTCCCTTCCTTTATTTTCATTTTCAATTATGTTATAGCATTTATGAATGGATATACATCAATACTTTTGCAACATGGTTTCTTGGTGAGTTAAAGTAAATTTGGCATATTCAGATGATAAGAAGAACTCGTAATCCAATGTGGAATGAAGAGTTCCAATTTATTCTTGAAGAACCTCCTTCACAGGATAAAATTCAGATAAAGGTTATGAGCAAGCGCACGGTCATTGGTTTCAATTCGAAGGTACTTTAGGAATATTCTATACTTATTTACTCCTTTTTCATTTCATTTTCGCTCCTCTAAATTACGATAGCTCAAGTACTCATAATCTCGAACTCTAACATTATGCAGGAATCTTTAGGGCATGTGGACATTGATCTTGGTGATGTTGTGCACAATGGACGTATCAATCAGAAATACCATCTAATAGATTCAAAGAATGGAGTGATACATGTCGAGGCACGGTGGAAAACCATATAAAGAAAAGCTCATGACGACATAATAGATGCCATAGATTAGGTAAATTTGTTTTTAACTGATGACATAATAGATGTCATGTAAGACAAGTTAAGAAACCACAGAATTATACATGTTTATAATAGAGATATAAAACAAGACAAGTTAAGAAACCACAGAACTATACATGTTTGTGCTTTTTCTCTTTGAAGCATAATCGTAAATAATTTTACTATTCATAATACAAAATTTGTTTTAAATGTTTGTCGTATTAGATGAAACAATATCTTCTTTAACACTTTCTTTGAGGTGTGTAGTTTCTAATAATTAGTCGTGACCAATACTACATGTCAAACATGCACTCAATGTTATTTTTCACTAATACATCAAAGCATTTTATTTTTTTTTATTTTATTTTAACTTTCCCGTATTGGCTTCTCAAATTTATACAAGTTTTGATTTTTACCGAGTTTCTCTTCCATTTAGTTTATATATGTATTTATCTTGATATATTTGTTGACTTCGAAAAATGGAAGTTAACAAATTCTCTGTCACCTTCTTGCCTAGTCACCTGTCTAAGCCCTTTTTGGATTACTGGAGCTCTGGTAGAGCAGCTTCGCGATGTAAAGACTTAGACCATGAAGAGCAAGAATTTGGCTTGAGTTTCTGATATTACTTCCTTATGAAATTCTAGGTACTTATATATTTCTCAAGCCTGTGGACTTTCTAGCCATTTTACTTTTTTTGAACACGTGTTGCCTCGCCTCACCGTCTGAGGATCCTTAATAGATTGCAATTCTAGACGATTTTATGACACGTAATACTTTTATATAGTTCTGGGTTTGCTTTCACAAGATCTTCTAAGGACCCGTTTGGCTTGATTTTTGCTTCTTGTAGAAGAACTCATGAAAAAAACTACCTTAATTTTTCTTTGAAAACTTATTTTGAAAAGAGTTTCTTATTCCGGAAACACTTTTAGAAGAAATCACGTTGATTCAGTTTTCTCTAAAAACTCTTCTAATTAGAAAAAACGCTTCATAACTCGGTGAAGTGACTATAGCGAAGCTTATTCAAGTGTTATTTTGTATTGGCATCGTTTTGACTGGTTAAGTGGCTTCGTGCTTTACACAAGGTTGGTCCTGGTGTCCTTGTTGGACTATTTCATGCCATGTGGGTTCGGACGTACAATATTTATTTTTCTTATAAAAGTAGAAATAAATGGAATTAAAATTTGTAATAGAGACTCAGACAATGTAATCTCATATTTTTCTAAACCTTTATAAATTCTCGTACTTATTTCAGGAGTTGTGGGCTTCATAGATCAGATCAATGGACTTGCAACCCACGATCCGCTTTTAACAAATAGTGCAGATGTTAATGGACTGTACTTTGAGCATAGCTTTTACTTAAAAACAATGTGTGTGTATATATAGTGGCGGATCCAGAATTTTGAATGAACACGGGTGACTGTTGATTATTGGGTGATCGTTTGATTTCCAGCAAGTGAACGGGATCGTGAACAAGTAATAAAGTAGTGACTAGTGTGTCGTACCCACGAAAACTACAAGTTTGATCGAGTTAAAATTAATTCCAATTTTAATTGAATAACAAACAAATTTTGTGATTTTTGTATACTAATCATTGAATTATCAATTAAATTAATGAAAATAAGCAAATGTGTTTTTTTTTTTTTCAAATATGTGAGATGCATTGCTAAGATGTCGAATCTCCCTTATTATTCAATTTTTAATGCAACAATTAAGGTGACAATTTGAAATCATTTATATTGGTCAATGTTCCTAATTTAATTGAAAGTCTCTTTCGATAGCGATCAAATATATCCCCTCACGTGACATTTCTATCACTCGATAAAAGATACAAACATGATAAATGCATTAACAAATGCTAGAACACATATTGAAACCATATAAAGTATAAGGGTATATCTTTATCTCTATCGAACATTACAATGTTTATTATAATGTGCTTAAACCCTATTGTCTCTCTCAATAACAATAAAATTCATTAACAATTCAATTGGTGATCAATCAATTGAAAAGAACGATAAAAATAATAAAAAACATTCACAAATCAAATCAAATCAAATTAAAGTCAAAATAATTAATTAAAAATATCATAACAAGAGTTCATCTCATCCTAACAATATATAAAATTAGTATAACATATTGAAATTACAAGAAATCATATTTAAGTGAAAATTATTTACCCGAAATCTCGAATCTCTTCAATGATTTCTTTATAAATCTCAACTTGCGTCTTCTCTTTTTTGCTCAAAAATCAGGTTTGAATTTTCAATTGATTAAATTCTTGCAAATCTTCTTCAATTCTCACAAAAACTATGAATTCTCACCATTTTATGATAATAATTGATGAATATTGGAGTATGAGATGTATATAAGAGGTCTCAAATATGTATTCTGCTGTTATGTATTTGTAGGACTCGAAAATTGGTTGAAAATTAAGTCCAAATTGATTTCCAAAAGAGTTCCAATCGAATAAGAAAAGTTTCATTCGCACACGGATTTTTTCTCTGCATAGCAGTCAGTATTTTGTCCATAATTTTCTTTCCTGATATCCGATTGAGGCGATTCAAAGTGCGTTGGAAAACTAGCTCAAAGGGTTACAATTTTTATAAAAATAGAAATTTTCCAATTTGGTCGTTTACTGTGCCAAATGGGTTTCAATATTCAGCTAAAAATCTGGAGTATAACTTGTGTGATTGGAAATTGATTTTGATCATATTTCATTCCTTTTTGAGTTCCAATTTCATCCAATTATCTTCTAGCAATCTTCAAAGTATCATCTTGCGGTCCGAATCAACTATTGAATCTGCAATTTGGTCCTCAAACTTTGAATTTTACCTTTTCACCAATTTTCGCTTCTTTTTTTCGATTTCTCTTTCAACCATTGAGTTTTATCTATATAACATAAAATACAATAATTTAAGATATAATTTGTCAGAAAAATTTATCAAATATCACTGTTTTAGACCCCGAATAAGTATATAAATTAAATATAACAAATATTTTGCTAAAATTAAACATATATAATTCTGTTATACATATCAACAATATTCACCAGATAACATAGTGGTCACTTTTTGTATAATTCAAAGGAAGTGCACATGTTCGAATATTTTCAATTACATTAAAAACGTTAGAACTGAACATATATTATTTTGTAATATTTAGTGTCAACGTTCAATGAATGTCATTATTGTCAAGTTCTCAATAATCTAAAGAGGGCTCATATGTTCAAATCCACCATGGATGCGTAGTGTCACGACCCGCTCGTTTCATTATATATAAAATTAGCATAACATATTAAAATTACAAGAAATCATATTTAAGTGAAAATTATTTACCCGAAATCTCGAATCTCTTCAATGATTTCTTGATAAATCTCAACTTGCGTCTTCTCTTTTTTGCTCAAAAATCAGGTTTGAATTTTCAATTGATTAAATTCTTGCAAATCTTCTTCAATTCTCACAAAAACTATGAATTCTCACCCTTTTATGATAATAATTGATGAATATTGGAGTATGAAATGTATATAAGAGGTCTCAAATATGTAATCTGCTGTTATGTATTTGTAGGACTCGAAAATTGGTTGAAAATTAAGTCCAATTTGATTTCCAAAAGAGTTCCAATCGAATAAGAAAAGTTTCATTCGCACACGGATTTTTTCTCTGCATAGCAGTCAGTATTTTGTCCATAATTTTCTTTCCCGATATCCGATTGAGGCGATTCAAAGTGCATTGGAAAACTAGCTCAAAGGGTTACAATTTTTATAAAAATAGAAATTTTCCAATTTGGTCGTTTACTGTGCCAGAATGGGTTTCAATATTCAGCTAAAAATCTGGAGTATAACTTGTGTGATTGGAAATTGATTTTGATCATATTTCATTCCTTTTTGAGTTCCAATTTCATTCAATTATCTTCCAGCAATCTTCAAAGCATCATCTTGTGGTCCGAATCAACTATTGAATCTGCAATTTGGTCCTCAAATTTTGAATTTTACCTTTTCACCAATTTTCGCTTCTTTTTTTCGATTTCTCTTTCAACCATTGAGTTTTATCTATATAATATAAAATACAATAATTTAAGATATAATTTGTCAGAAAAATCTATCAAATATCACCGTTTTAGACCCCGAATAAGTAAATAAATTAAATATAACAAATATTTTGCTAAAATTAAACATATATAATTCTGTTATACATATCAACAATATTCACCAGATGACATAGTGGTCACTTTTTGTATAATTCAAAGGAAGTGCACATGTTCGAATATTTTCAATTACATTAAAAACGTTAGAACTGAACATATATTATTTTGTAATATTTAGTGTCAACATTCAATGAATGTCATTATTGTCAAGTTCTCAATAATCTAAAGAGGGCTCATATGTTCAAATCCACCATGGATGCGTAGGCTCTAAACAACTGAGCTACAACATGTATTTGAAAACAAAATAAATTATTAGATATATATAAGCTAAAAATATTATCTATTCTAAAAAAAAACTTGTTCACGGATTACTTGTGCTGAATCCGCCACTGTTAATATATATATATATATATATAGAAGATGTATGTAGATACAATAAACATGCGGAAAACAGTGAATCGTTTTGCATTGGATTTATATCAAATAGCATCTCCCAATACTAATTTAGCAATATTATATTGTAAAATCTCAGATATAATTTGGAAGGAAACCCCAAATTTCCTTGTGTGAAATCTGCTGCACAATCCAGCGGCGCCTCGAAAGATGTATCTCAATGGATAGATTCAGAAGAAGAGGGCCTAGTATGATTTTTCTACAATAGACACGTGTATCATCCCCATCTTTAATTTGAATTCCTCTCCGATTTTGGAAGAGTCATTTTTAATGTACAGCGTGAAGTTAGTATTTTTAGACATTACTAGTTTTTGTCCGTGCGATGCACGGGTTGGGTGATTTTGAAGATTATGTTAGTGTGTTAAAAATATTAATTAT